GTGTGTGTGTGTGTGTGTGTGTGTGTGTGTGTGTGTGTGTGTGTGTGTGTGTGTGTGTGTGTGTGTGTGTGTGTGTGTGTGTGTGAATGCGTGTCTTGCGTATGTACTGCGTGTGCGTAAGCTGCGTGTTTGGGTGTTTGGGACGTGTGCGTCCTGTCCGTGTTCTTTCAAGAACAATCCATCGGCCCATTCACTCCGACCCTCAACCGTTCGCTCATGCTTCTTCTCTTCTCCCTCTAACACGCCTTCAGCCAATCAACCCGTGTAAGGAAGACAACGGCCAGTGTGGACCTGCATCAACAACGCTGTGAGTGTGAAACAGATTGAGATGGGCAGCGTGTTGAATGTTGGTGCACATGCCCAAGCTGCACGAGTCGAAGAGTTTGAAGTGTTTGGTGCACTCACACACACTCACACACACACTCACACACATGCATCCACGCACACACGCACACACACACACATGCGCGCACACATACGCACAAACACACACACACAACACACACACATATATATATATATACACACATTGCTGCAACATCACGACCACAGGTGCATCCACACTGGGCCTGGGATACGAAACTGCACGTGCCATGAGGGGCACACGTCCACCACGGGGCGCAACTGCTTCCCCATCAACCCATGCGTCACCGACAACGGCGGCTGCGGGTTTGAAAACTCAACCAGGTCAGTGGCACACGTAGGGGTGCGTTGTTATTCTTCTGTGTGCGCTTCAACCAGTGCACACTTGTGGCGCAGTCTGTGGCGCGTTTCACACACCCACACATACACACACATATGCACCACGACAATCCATCCATCCACCACACTCACCCGAGCGACTCATTTATCTCCTCTCCTCAACATGCCAGGTGCCTGTTTGACGGCCCTGATTTGGCTTCGTGCGTGTGCCGGTCTGGCTTTGCCGGCGATCCACCGAACACGCCGTGCGAGGTCAGCACAGCGCCTGCTCATGCATGCCATTGCAGTTTGGCGCCACATCGTGCTTCTGTCGCGCCACCTCTTCACCATCTCACTCACATCTCACCCATCCCATCACCATCGCTTCACTGCCTTACCACTCCGCGTCCACAATTTCTCTCCCCCCCAACTCCCCACTTCTGCCATCTCAGCCCGTGGACCCGTGCTCGATCGACAACGTGTGCGGGGCAAACGCGGAGTGCACCCGCACAGGGCTGCACACGTACAACTGCAGCTGCATCGCCGGTCACGTGAGCGACAACGGCGGCCGCAACTGCACGCATCCCTCCTCCTCTTCCTCCTCCTCTTCCTCCTTCGTGGCATCCTCAACAGGAAGCATGCCTCCAGTGACCACAGCTCTCGACCCGGCTGCAAGCCAGTCCACCGCCAACAGCATCTCCGCTGCCACGTGGGGCGGCATTGCTGGCGGTGTTTGTGGATTGGTAGTCCTTACCACGGCGGCGGTGGTTCTTGTGAAGCGAAGGCGATGCGGCCGTACCAAGCACGCTGACATTGGCATCAACAACATTGAAGCGCCGGTGTGTGTGTGTGTGTGTGTGTGTCTGTGTGTGAGGGCTTTTCTTGAGACAACGCGTCTGACCCTAGCGAAGTACGCATTGTCAGCCATGACGTCTTTGTGTGTCCATGAACTGGTTTACACCATGTTGTTTCCAGCAATTCTACATTCACCTCTACTGTGCTCATTCGCACGTCTTGCATGCACGATTCATCAGGGACAGCATGAACCCCAAGTGTATGACAACCCTGTCTTCCGTCCTTCCTCTGGCACGCTGACATATGACAACGTTCGGCCCACGCACGCCCATGTCGTTCGAGGTGCGTTTGAAGGCGCTGACTTCGTTCCGTTGCCCTCCTGTTACTTTGCCTTCTCAAAGAAGCGCTGGTTTCAGGTGTTAAAAGTTCTACTCACAGTCTCGTTGGTTTGTGTGCGTGTGCGTGTGGGGTTCGCTTGTTTGTGTACACAAGGTACCCATCATTGGCGTGAGGATACCTACGACATCGGCAGCGCCAACGGTGAACGGATTCGAGGTGCGTTGCGCTGTGCTGGACCCGTGTGCGTGCTGTTGGTTGGATCAGCTTTCGACAAAGTTTTGCTCTGCGCCTCTTCCTCGCAGATTCCCCGTGACTCTTCAACCCCCTGCTCTCTGCGTTCGTCACGCGTCATGGACCTCACCTCGTTAACAATGGCCTGTTTTCAATGCAACGGATCACTCCGATACACAGGCGTGCATCTCTGGCCTGAAGGGAGGTATGACATTGGAAGCCAAGAGGAGCGGGGAGCAGCAACCGTGCAGGCGTGGGTGCTGTCTGAAGGAGTGGACGATGGCTGTGGCGGCGATGACGCGCTGGATGGCAGGGATGATGGCATTTGCGACGGGGGCGAGAGCAGCACGCGGCGGGTTGACAGCAACTGCAATGGTGCCGCGATCTATGAAGCCAGATCGACGTCACATGCCCCTGTGTACGACAATCCACCGCCACTACCACCGACGTCATCAGGGCGACAAGCACCCATCTACGACAACGTGGTTGCATGAGCTGCGGAGTGGGCGGCTGCGCCGCCGTTGTTTTGTCTCCGCGTTACATGTCATGATTGTGTTTTTACAGCAAATACCTTGTGCATACATCCATGAGTACATTGTACATACATGAGTACATACATCAAAAACACACTCCAGTGGGGCACTTTGCACAGCAGGAGAGCAGGGAAGAGGCGAGGACGCGAGAGGAGGTGGAAGAGGGAAGTGAAGGAGGAAACCCAGCCAGCCAGCCAACCAGCCAGACCCCGGGGACGATTTACGACAGCACAAAAAGGTGTTTTGTGTTCGGGTTTGCTCCTGCTGCTGCTGACGGCACACAACGCAAGCACACACACCACAAGACACACGAGACTGGCGATCACCAACCGCCCAAAGTCTCAACGCAAACCCTGCCTCCATCACGTCCCACCCTCGCTCGCTCGCTTGCTGGCTGGGCTGACCGACAGTCGCAACGGCACACAACCACTTCACTGCCACACTCTCACAGCCCCACACTCTCACAGCCCCACACTCTCACAGCCCACACTTAGACACGAACATGAGGCGATGCCGGCGCTCGCGGGCGCGGCGTGTGATTGCGTGCTTTGCGTTGCTGGCGGCTGTGGCGTGTCTTGCGCCAGCGTCCTTGGTTCGTTGTGATGAGGCCGCCAACACAAGCGATTCGCATGCAGCGAGCGCCGAGGCAGACTCACACGGCGCTGCATCGGCAGCTCACAGCCCGGAAGGTGCGCGTGTGTGTAGTCATTGCGTGCGTGAATGTGCGTGAGTGTGTATGCACGACCTTTGTTGGGTGATCCTGCATCTTCCTCAGCCTCAACACGACTCATGCATGGTTGTTCTCACTGTGCTTTGTGGTTGTGCATGTGATCGGGTAAACAGTGTGTCCGGCCAACGTATCGACCAATCCTTTCTACAAGGCGTACTTTGACTCGGAGAAGGACCTTCCGCTGGGATCGGAAGGGTTCATTGAAAACCTCGAGGAACGCTCCCACCTCGAGGTGTGCATGTGTGTGTGTGTGTGCGTACACTTGTGGGTGTGTGTGCGTAAGCTTGTGTGCGTGTGCCCGTGTGTATGCACCTGTGTGTTGCCCCATTGTTGCGTTGTTCGCTGGCTCACCTCGTCATGGTGGCTTCTCTCACGTTTCTGGTACCTGCAGGTGTTTGCACAAAACTACAAGGAGGTGGAGCTACCTTTCCTCGTTTCCTTGATTCTGCTCATCGTGGCGCTGCTTCGAGTCGGTGCGTTCGTGCTCCTGCAGCTGTTGCACCTGCTGCGGCATCCCACATCCAATGAACGTCACCTGTCTCACACTTCACTGTCTCATGCAAATACGCGTGCGTGTGCGTGTGCGTGTGCGTGTGCACAGGCATCCAAGGATCGTGGATTGGCGAAGTGCTGCCAGACTCATGGTAACAGCCCTGCTCTGCTTTTCTTGGACAAGCGCGAGAGTGAAGATGGCCCGTGCACATATGTGCGAGCGTGCCTGTGTACCTCGTTTGATGACCCTCACTCAACCTCATGATCTAACTTAACTGGTCTTTATACTTCTGCGCGTGTGTGATGGTTGTATCCTGAACGCACTCTTGAACGTGGTACCTTTTTCACTGTACCCTTGCACAAACAGCATGGTCATTGTCGTGGGCGTCTTCATCGGTATCTGGATCAGGTGTGTGTGTGTGTGTGTGTGTGTGTGTGTGTGTGTGTGTGTGTGTGTGTGTGTGTGTGTGTGTGTGTGTGTCGTGT